AATAAAGTTCCCCAAAGGGGACAAGACAGAGGAGGTGGGAAGAGGTAGAGGAAAGCTGAGACTCTGTCAGGTCATTACCAATGGCCTGGTGGGACCCTGGAGTGCTATGGAAAATTCCCTGGCCAGGGACTGTGAGGAACCTGGGCACTGGGCTAAGAGTGTCCAAGGCAGGAGAGTGACCTTGGGAATGTACGACAGTGACCCTGGGAATGTACCGCAGCCTGCAGCCCACATTGGTTCAAGGGCAGCCAGGGCAGAGGCAGCCTGTGCATTCACATTTAGTCTCTGTTTGAGATGCATGTCAGCCTGCTCCATATCCTCCTGGGAGTGGAGTAGTTTTGTTGTTGTTGTTGGTAGTGGTGGTGGTGGTGGTGGAGTGTGTGTGTGTGGTGGTGGAGTGTGTGTGTGTGTGTGTGTGTTTTGTGACTGGTCCTGGGGCTGGAACTCAGGGCCTGAGCACCGTCCTTTAGCTTTATTTTACACAAAGTTAGTATACTGCCACTTGAGCTACTGCTCCATGTCTGGCTTTTTGGTGATTACTGGGAGATAAGAGTCTCATGGACTTTGTTGCCCAGAGACCTTCAAACCATGTCAAATCTCGGCCTCCTGAGTATGGTACCAGTGAGACACTAGTGACAGGCTTGGGAGTGGGGTTTTTCAAGAAGGTGTGAAGGCGACTAGTTTGAGGAGATGACTTTAGACAGCAGAGGCTGTGGTCTGGGCAGAGGTAACACTAGAATCTATTGTAGTCACCTCACACCAGTGAAAGCCTTCTGGGAACTTCAGGTATCAGCTCACCCTGCAATCTGAGGGAATGTGGCATGGCACAGCCACTACAATGACATGGGATTTGTCCCTAAACCAAGAGAGAGATGTAGAATTTCTATGGGGAGGTCAACAGTTTCAGGTTTCAGGGTCTAGTATGCTAGCAATAATGTGGAAGTCAGGAAGCAAACTGGAAATGGGGTACCATGTGGTAAGTCTTAGAATCCCCAGATGCCAGTGGCTGTCTCAGAGCTCAGAAGCCACTGGAACCAGAAGGGTACTGTCAAAGAAGGCCCTCTGGGAGGTCCCCTCCAGTGCAGACAGGTCCTGGAAACTTACCAGTAGCCAAGGGCTGCCCCATGCAAATAGGAGCTTCATATTCTAGGTCTTCTAACTTTTAAGAAAAGCTATAAATTCAAGCAATGGTTCCTGATTCCTAAATATTAACTCAACTTCTGTATATAGTATTTGAGCTGACATATATAGCTACCAGTGTTAAGTGGCACAGTGCCTACTATGTGACCACAGCGGAGGCTTGTGGAACATCACAGCACAGAGAAACAATAGGACTGGGTGACTTTTCAGAGATGAGGTTCCAGAGTCGCACTTCAAAGCAGGCTTCTACCTGTACATGGAGGGAAGGATGGAGCCATGGCCAAAATAAAAAGCAACAAACACACTCAAGACAAATTCACGGTCATGATGAAATGGACAGGCGGTGGGCAGTAAAAGCAGAAATCAGTTGTGGACCTTTTGTGGGTTTTGTTTTTTTGCATAAAAGACATTATACAGGAAGTGGATTCTAACACCAGAGGCCTTGACTTGGATGTCAGTCTAGTAAAAGTTATAAGCTAAGGGTTTCATCAAAGAATCTTTGGTAGAAGAGGAGGTGGAGACAGGATCCTGGGTACCTCCAGCAAGGCCCACAGATGCCAGAGAGGCGGATGGAAAACCAGAAGCGTGAGAAAGGCTCCACAGTGTCAAGCTCAGCAGCCCTGGGAGGCAAGGTGGGCTTGGAGGACATGCAAAGGTCTTGGATGCAAAGTGCTCTCTTCTACACTGAGGACTTTGCGGCCAGCTTGGCGGAGCTGGGAAGAAAAGCAGAATTAGTTAAAGTAGCCTGTGGCAGCCACAGGCAAGATAGGGATGCAGGAAGAAGGGAAGTTAGGGCAGTTAAAAATAATGCTTAAAGAAAAAGGAAGAGTACAGTGAGGTGCTGGTGGCTCAAGCTTGTAATCTTAGCTACTTAGGAGACTGAGATCTGAGGATGGTGGTTCGAAGCTGGCCCATCGTCTATGAGACTCTTATGTCCAATGAATCACTCAAAAATTGGAAGTGGCTTCCTCAGCACCACATAATCAGGAAAAAAAAAGCCGGAAGTGGCACTGTGGCTAAAGTGGTTGAGTGCTAGCCTTAAGCACAAAGGGGCTCAGGGACAGCACCCAAGGACAGCCCTGAGTTCAAGACCTATAATTGACCAAATAATAATAATAATACTGGAAAAAAGAGTACACAAGGGGAGTCCAAAGATAAAATTAGATAGGGGAGGAAGATTCCTGAGAGGGAGGAGCCAGGATTCGGCTCTAGACATTAGTCACTGTCACAAGAAGTTCCCAATTCAGCTTCATTTTCCTTCTCTCCCTCTACCTGATTCATATTTTTTTGACTTGTGGGATTTGAACTCAAAGCCTGGATGCTATCCCTGAGCATTTTTTTCACCCAAAGCTGGTGCTCTATCACTTGAGCCACATCTTCACTCATTGCTTTTTGGTAGTTACTTGGGGATGAGTCTCATGAGCTTTCTTGCCCAGATTGGCTTTCAAATATCAATCCTGAGATCTCAGCCTCCCAAGTAGCTAAGATTACAGGCATGAGCCATTGGTTCCCTGCCTCTGTTCTTTTTTTAAAAATCTGATTGTCTGTAAGAATGATATGTCTCCAAAGAGCAATATTTATCACACATGAAAGCCTGGCAATAGCAGGTACCTAGGACTTAGAGGATGGCCAGGTCAATACAGAAAACTCTGCTCTGGGGAGGGGACACAGGACGATGTGGAGCAAGTCTGGTGACCTCTGTTTTCTCAGGGGAGTTAGCCATTATGTTACCTGCTGGACCTGAAGGGGAAAGGCACTGGGCATTCTTGTGTGGAAAAATACAATGGAGGCCCAGTTCAAAGCCGGGGCGGCAGGACCTCTGTATTAGAGATAAGATACTGGAGTTTCTGACTCCGTGTGGCAGGGATGTGGCTCAAAGGCTGTGTCATTAGGATGGTGAGGCCCCTAGATTAGGAATGATTAATGCTGCACGATCTCCATGGACTTTGAGATCAGAAAAAGGGGAAAAGCAAAGAGCTGGAGGAAAAGGACACAATGGACAACAACTCAGAGGTGTGACTGGGGACCTGATACCTCATTTCTAATTCTTCCACTTCAATCTCCCACTGGGGTTCCGTCATCCAAAGGTAGATCTGAAAGGCAAAATCCTCTGGAGACAAGTAATGGGTGTTCTTTCAAAACTGCACTAATGACAGGTACCAGTGGCTCACGCCTGTATTCCCAGCCACTCAGGATGCTGAGCTCTGAGAATCATGGTTCAAAGCCAGCCTAGGCAGGGAAGTTGGTGAAACTCTTCTCCCTAATGAACCACCAAAAAAGCCTGAAGTGGATGTGTGGGTCAAGTAGTAGAGTGGCAGCCTTGAATGAAACAGCTCAGCAGTAGGGCTCAGGCCTGAGTTCAGTCATTGGCACAGGACAGACAAAACGAGAAAAGGAAGACTAAAGGAAAGAAGCAAGAAAAGGAGAGAGGGAAGGAAGGAGGGAAAGAGAGAGGGAGGAAAGAGGGAGGGAAGAAGAGAGAGAAGGAAAGGCAACTGCACTGCATTAATAAGTGACATTCATAGGAACTAGGAATTCTCTGTATAGATTCAGTTTTTTTTAGAATGAAAGAGAGAACATCTTATGACCTTCAATAATTACCGTGTGCTCATAATTAGCTGTACAGTATTTCCAAACATTATTTTAATAAACATTCAAAACTTGAAACTGGGGGGGGGGGGAAATACATCTTTGCTTATTTAGGCTAGCACCACCAGCTGTAGAGCTTAGTAATTTTTTTTTTTGGTTAAAATTCTGCAAAAACAACAGAATTAGTAATTTAGAGACACCAATCCTGGTCCAAGTACCTTCCATTTCTAAGTGTCCTTTCCACAAACCAATTAGCAAGACTGACATTGGTTGAACTTCAGACCTAAAAATCTCCAAGATAAACCGTTCTAGAACGGTTCAGAGAAGTAAGCGGCTGCCTGTCTTAAAAAGAGGAAGACAAACCTTCACTTTTAATATCTATACATATATCTATATGTATATTTAATATTGGATGCTACCTAGAAGAATGTTCTCTACAAAAGTAGTCAGAGCAAGGTAACAGCGCATTTGGGATTTCTCCCGAGACACGGATTATATGCTGCTCATTCACATCCCCCCCCCCCCCCCAATAAAAACCTCCACTCGCATCTTCCATCGTACCTGAAGGTGGAGTGTCGCCTTATGTAACACAAGCCTTCTCTCCCGGCTCGGCGGGGGCCAGATGAAATACCTCATTCCGCCCGGAAATTCCGAGCACTTTGAGCTTACCAGTAGTCACTAACCAGTCTCCCAAGGTCCATCTCCACAGCCGAGGAGAGAGTCCAGACCGGCTCAATGGATGGATGGGGGGGGGGGGGGGAGGGACCCCGGGTGGCAGAAAGCCCAATGGAAAGCGGTCCCTGCGCCCCGCCTGTCCCCTGCGGGGCCGGTCCCCTCCCGGGCGCGCGGGCCGGGCTAACTAGTCCCGAGTCCCTGTGTCTTTCCCGGTCCAGGGCGCACGGGGAAAGTGCGGGGTGCGGGGAGCCCCGGCTCCGGATCCCGCTCACTCCTCCCGCCCCCCCCACCCCGACCCCCTCCGGATCGGCGGCAGGGACAGAAGGGCGTCTCCGGAGGGACGGGGGTCCCTCGGGGGTGCACCTGGTATCCCCAAGCTGCCAGCCGGGCGGCGGGACGCGGGAGCAGCCGGGCGCGCCCCCAGCCCCGGCCTCCGCTGCCCGAGGGAGGCGGAGAAAGTTCCCACCGCCCCGACGGGCACGCGCGGGCTCCGCTCTCCCCGCCGCGCCCCCGGGGCCGGCCGGGCGCAAGGTCGGTGGGTGCCCGGCGCCCCGCCCGCGTCCCGGGCCGCGCCCCGCCGCCGCGCGCGTACTCACCGGCCCCTCGGTCGGGTCCCCCAGGTGGCGGCAGCGCGGCCCGAGCCGGTGAGGGGAGGAAGGGGGGGAAAGGTGGGGAGGACGGAGGGCGGGCGGCGCAGGCGGCGGCCCGGGAAGGAAGAGAGGCGGCGGCGGCTGCAGACGCGGCGCAGCCGGTGCAGCCCTCAGCGCGAGCGGGGCGGCCACGGCGCGGGGGCTTTATCGCCTTCGCCGCGCCGGCCCCCGCCCCTTCCCGCCGCCCCCGCCCCGCCCGCCCGCCCGCCCCGCCCTCCCGCCGCCGCCGCCGCCGCCGCCAACGCCGCCTTTGTGTGCCAGCCCGCCGCCGCGTCCCGCGCCGGGACTCCAGGACGCCCCTACCCAGCCCGCGCGGCGCCCGGATTCCGCCCCAGGGCGCTCCCCGCCCGGGGAACGGCACCCCGAAAGCGCCGCTCCCCCACGCCTCCCTCGGCCCGAGCTGCACGTGGGGCGCCGGAGGGGTGTGGAGAGGGGGAACCCCAGCGCCCACCCGGGGGAGCCCCTCTGGGAAAGACCAGCGCGCCCCGGGACCCCCTCCCCCCCCCCCCCGCCCGCTCCTCCAGGTGATCGGGTGGAAGCCCGGACGGGCCGCCGGGGGCTTTTGCAGGGTGCCCGAGGGCCCTGCCGGATGGTGGACAGGGGGCTCCAGAAAACTGGAGGAGCGCGCGAGGTCCCGTAGTCCGGGGTCTGTCTGCAGCCCACCCCGGCCGGTGCCTCCTACAGCCGATGGGACCCACTGAGTCACGGAGGGCGAAGAAGGTCCCAAGCCAGCGGCCGATCGCGGTCCCCTTCCCCGCAGGCTCCGACGCCCCGGTCCCCTAGGCCACCGCTTCTCACGTTTCGGTGGTTGGGGACTTGAAGTGACACACTGAGTTACCTCTTTGTACCTGATGGGCCTGGGGCCCCAATACCTGTGAAGAAGACACCTCCCCCCCCCCGCCCCCCGCGCCCCATCTAGTCCGGCTGCTGCTTCCCCACCTGAGCAACTTGGAAGGTCAGCTCGCTCGTGGACTGGGCTGCGCGTGTGTCAGCGATGTTTACGGATTTGCAGGATCTGTTTACCTGCTGGCAAGAAGCCTGCCTAGTTTTCCAAACCCTTTGTCTCCTGAAATGCTCGCTCCCAGAATCTTCTGGTGACTGCCGCTCTGTGCTTTGGGTTGTAAGTCAAATGTTACCTCGGGCTGCAAGTCTTCCTGGAAGACCTGAGCGACTCACCTCCTTCCACCTGGCAGCCTTCAAAACACTCATGCTCTGACTTGATTTATCTTAGCGGCAACCGGGGTTTGAACTCAAAGAGTTCAGACGCTACCACTTGAGCCCATGCCTCCAACCTTTTTTTGCTTTGGTTATTTTTGAGATGGGGTTTTGCTTTCTACCCTGACTAGCCTGGACCGTGAGCCTGTTTACCATTCCCACTGTGGCTGGGATGGCAGGCACCAACTACCACACACAGATTTTTCTATTGAGATGGAGGCTCACAAACTTTATTTTGCCCAGATTGGCCTGGAACTGAGACTCTCGCTTGTCTCAGCTTCTTGTCTAGCTGGGACAGTAGTCATGACGTCGACGACGACGACTACTACTATTACTACTACTGCTACTATTGGTGGAGACCCGGTGTTCATGCACTTTTCTCTGGGCTGAATCAAATTCCAGTGTTCCTAATCTCTGCTTACCAAGTAGCTGGGGTTATATGCTTGAGCCACGGATGCCTGGCATAATGTTTTTTTTTTCCTTTTTGATATGTTTTGCTAGTTTTCTTCCACTCTCCCTCATTAGAATACGCTCCCAGGGAGCAGGGAAAAGAGGCCAATTCAACAGGAAATGCACTGGGAAGCTCATTGCTTTCACTGTGCAGTGACACCTACAGTAATTGCTCAATAAATGTATGTCAGCCAAAGGACTACAGATATGGACCAATGATAATTGTGCCTTTGTTAGGGAGGATGGGGCTAGAGCTGAGGAACATTTGGGGGGCTGAGGTGAGGGATGGGGGTGGGGAGGGGGAAGCTTGTTGGATTTTCTGCATCCATTTCTATCTCAATCACAGCACAAAAATTGAAATATTTAATTGAGATAGTTGTTGGGTTGCTAGGGGAAATAGTTAGGATAAATAATAAACAGGAGAGATCACTTGTATCTTCAGCCCAGATTTTGTCAGTGCTGACTTTTTTGCAAAGTTGTTATATAAAAATCATACTCAGGATGTTAGCATTGATGCAGTGATTCATATCTCACTTTGGTTAATTATTTGCAATTCTAGTGTGTGTGTGTGTGTGTGTGTGTGTGTGTGTGTGTGTATGTATGTGTGTGTGTGTGTGTGTGTGTGTGTGTGCCTGTCTTGGGGCTTGAATTTAGGGTCTGGGTGCTGTCCCTGAACTACTTTGCTCAAGGCTACCTCTCTACCACTTGAGCCACAGTTCTACTTCCAGATTTTTTTTTGTTAGTTAATGGATGGTAAGCGTCTTATGGACTTTCCTAGGCTAGCTTCAAACTGTGATCCTCAAATCTCAGCACCCTGAGTAGCTAGGATTACAAGCATGAGCCACCAGTACCTAACAATTCTAAATTTTTCTTTAAGGAAAGTTACTCTTAGTTAAAAAAAAGTTTTCAGAGGAATGTACACACATTATTTTAACGGATTTCAGTCTCTTATCTGGAAGCCAGTGTTTTCCAGGGAGGAAAAGAAGAACAAAAAAGAACAAGAAGAAACCAAAAATCAAAAACACAAACAACAAGAACACCAACCCTCTTCCAGTCCAAAAGACAAAACCTTGTTTTCCTATTTAGAAGTAAACAAGGTCTAAGCTCATTATAAAAGAATGTGCAGAAATGTGTAGGAGTTGCCGCTTGTTTATGTTGTCCTGACCAGTCACTTCCCTGTTCTCCTCCACACCATCAAAGGAACAGTTTGAGCAATACTGTACGTGACTTGTCAATTCTGAAATCAGACAGGATGCAGGGTTAACGAATACGCTAAAGTAAGCCCAGACACAAATGTCCCTTTCTCTCTTCTTGGCCATTGGGTGAGGATCTCCCAAAGGAAAGGACTGGAAACACAAAGCCTCCTTCTGCAGAGGAGACATGCTGGGAATACCAACGATGCTTGCTTCTTCCTGAGTGTGCGTGTGGCTGGTGCTGGTGGTTTTTCTGCTGCCCACAGAGGACAGCACCAGAAACCCAGACTACACATTCCTTCACATGGACACCAGGAGGCACTTTGGCCCAGAGAAGATGAGCACCTTACCATAGCTGTTGGCCATTAGCAGGAAGTGACTCTCTCATATAGTTGGCCCTTTTTACAATTTCTTTCTCCTATCTATTTCCAACCTGGCATTTCTTTTCTGTTTCTACTTTGGTTTTGTTGGTGAGTCTAAGTCATTTCACACACCTACCTGGCTCTTGGGTATTTAATTTTAGCTTTCAATTGTGGGGCTGGCCTTAATCTGTAGATACAAGTTGAAATTGTTTATTCCTTAAAAAAAAAAAATTAAAGTGGCCTGGCATCCAGCCAGCTCTAGCCAGACTCTGAGTTTGGCTTTGTGTTCATAAGCTGCAGTTGAGAGAAATGCAAGAAATGCCCAAACAGAAGAAAACAAGTGATCTATTTAGTCTCATTTCCTCTCTTGGAACATATCCAGTGTTGAGTGTCTTGGAATAAATGTAACCCCCTTGCACCCCAGCTCCCCTGCTCCCCCATGTGCTAAAACAGAGTGATCTTGTGTTTATATAAAAAGTGCCCTTAGCTCCCAATGGGGTGATGATGTTTTGTCTGTAAGGCAGACAGACATGATGATAACAGAGGACTTCGTTATCACTAGTTTCGCTCCTATCTTCCCACCAGTTAAAAGATAACTGCACCTAAACGACTTATAACACAACCTTAGAGATATGAATGCTGTTTTGTAGGTAGGATTACCTCAGCCTAGGACACTGAGTGGTGATAATAGTACCCTTGTACAGTTAACTTTCTGCAATTGTTGTGCTGTTGTTTTATTCTTGCTGTTTTGTTGGTTTATCTTTGTTTAGCTCATAGAAGACTTTGCTTTAAAGTTGCCTTTCAAATAAATCCAATTTCCTCTTTCTGTAATTTCTGAAACGGATTAAACCCCACAGCATCGATTTGTTCCTTCCTATTGTTGACTTTTCACCAAGAGCTTCAGAGAAAAGACATTAGTAAGTGCTAGGTTGCTTATTATTCTCTTTATAATTGACCAAATAGGATGGAATGCCTAGGTTCTGAGAACCATTGTGGTACTGAATCCTTCAAACAATCCAGAACTTCTTAACCACCGCACAATGGATACTGCCTGTCTGCTTCCATGAGTCTCTTTAGCCCGTCTTCTTGGCCTCACGGTTCAGCTCTCTTTCCTCTCTCCCATGTTCTGCCTCCAGCATTCTCTTTCAAAAGTTACCAGCAACTTCCAATGTCCTAGTAGTATTTCATCATTTGTTTGTATGTGCTAGTACTGAGGCTTGAACACAGGGTCTGGGCTGTTTTCTTTTTCTTTTTTTAATTTTAATTAAGTTTTTTATTGTGAGAATACTGTACAAAGAGGTTACAGTTACATGAGCAAGGTAATGAGTACATTTCTTATCTAGCATTGTTGCCTCCTCCTTTGCTTTTCCCCTACCACCCCTTCCCTCCCACCTCCTCAGCTACACTCCCCCTTCTCCTCTCCCCCCTGTAAAGTTCATTTTTCGACATAGAGTCTTGTACATCTCACTGTTGCAATGGGTCAGTCTGTATCCCTGTTTAAACAATTAGTTTTTTTCCCTTCCCCTCCCCAAATTATACCAACATCAAATACAGTGAAAACAGGGGTGATGTTTTCTCTTAGCTTTTTCTGTTTAATACAACCACCTGAACTACAGCTCCACCTCTGACTTTTTAGTGTTTAATTGCAGGCAAGAATCTCACAAATTTTCTTAACGGGGCTGCCTTTGGAGTATATTCCTCAGCTCTTTGGAGTGGCTAGGATTGCAGCCATGAGCCACTGGCTCCAGGGTTATTTCATCTTTTTTTTTTTTTTTTTATCATCACCTTTGACCCTTTGACAGTATTGAGCCCTTGAATTCTGCATTTGTTTTTCCTAATGATTGAACTCAAGGCTTCATGAGTGCTAAGCAAATGCCTT